CTTGCTTTCTGAGAATGACGTCCGTGCGTCTGCCTGTGACGTATGCAAGGAGCGACGCGCCGCCGTGGATCTTCCGCTGCTCCGCTTCAGCCCGCTGACGCCGTCCGACGTCTACGCGGACTCGCAGGAAGGCGGCAAAAAGTGACAAGCTGCCCCCCCCCCACCACCCCACCCAGATCGCAATAAAAAGCGTCCTTTTTTCTTCTCTCTCTCCAGTAAAATGTGATTTTGTTTTCCCTGTCTTAGGGTTTGAAAGTAAGAAATTAAACGAGGCTTAGGTGTTTGAAGTTGGGTTTCAAACTTGGGGTCGGTTTTCAAAACGGGGTTCGGGTTTCAGACTCGGTAGGGTTTTAAAGTATGCCGTCAATCTAGGGCAAGGGTTTCAAAATGTGGTTTTTAAACTGGGGTTATTGTTTGAAAGCTTTACAACTGAGGAACACACAAATTTGGATCAAGAAATGAATTGATGAATTCGCACGTCTTCGTGGCGTGGCGATCAAATCCGGACTCTGGAGGACGGCAGCCTACAAATTTTGGAATCGCTCCGATCTCCCGCCTTCCTCGAATGCAGCATGAGTTCGGGGCATGTGGATGACGTCATTTCCAAGCGACTTCCGCGCGCGATTTGGTGGCGAGAGTTGACGACGACGACGACGGGGGGGGGAAAGCAACGGGAGCTTTTGAGTTAGTTGAGCGGACAATCACTTCCTTCTCTGGATAACCGGGGCGTCACGGCACCGATGTTTTCTCCGCGTTCCGGCCCGAGCTCGACCCGGCGGCAGCAGAACAGAACCCCGGCCGGGAGAAGGTCCGGCAGCCTTCTGCTCACCCCGCGCAGGACAAGGTAACGAGTTAGCAACAGAAAACAAGTATATATGTTGTGTACACATTCAGGTAAATAAAACATTTACGTTCACATTTTTTGGACACTTGAGAGTCGAAATAGAAATCGTAATCGGCTGCCTTTGGGCTCTTTCTACAGTTACCGCTAGATGGCGTCAGAGCCTAGTCTAGATACAAAAAGGAGTACTGTACAGCCAAGCAAGCCCCTTGTGCAGTTTTTTTTTTTGTTGTTGTTGTTGTAAACTATCCTTTGTGAATCTCTTTAAAACAAACTCAACCTGTGCGTGCGTGCGGAGGACAGACCAACACCCAGTCGCGAGCAGAGCCATGCCACCTCCGACGGTCTCAACTACGACCTGCAAACGTTCGGCTCTTCGCTTCCTGTCAAAGTGATGGAGGCGCTGAACGTGCTCGATGGTAAAGTGTGTTTTGGTGTGCGGCGGGGGGGATCCGAGTCCCAAGCTGCGCGTTGGGTAATGACGCGCGTCTCGCGTCGCCCACCAGGCGAGAAGCGGATCTCGGTCAAAGTGAGCGAGAGCGGCTGGGCCTGGCTGGTTTGCGGGGACAGACTCATCATCTGGAAAATCGGCCAGACGCCTGTTGCTAAGGTGCGTTTACATTTGTTGTTGTTTGGTTTTTTTTTTTTTTTTTAAGTTTGTATATTTTGGCCCGCTGGACGAGGCCCCCGCGCAGTCCGTGTCCGCGCTGGCCGTGTCGGCCGAGGGCGCCGCCCGCTTGTGGGCCAGCTTGTCGCAGGAGGGCAATTACGCCGAGGCTGACCTGGACCTGGGAGACCCGTGCGCCTTCGTGCTGGCCGTCAGCGTAAGCCGCGATCGCTTGCGACGGTCATTTTGCTCAAGCCCGACTTTGCAAAGGATAAACAGCGGCTAGCTGAAAAGACGAATTCGCTTTCTGTTCGCTTCGGACGCGAGCGGAAGTCGGAAACCGGCGATGGCCGACCGACGTCGCTCTTTTCCCTCCCGCCAGGGCGGCAGCTTCGTGGCGTCCTCGGCCACGGGTCGCATGCTGCGCGTCGGGGCCGACTCTTCCGGAAGGCTTCAGCAGCGAGCGCTGCAACAGGGCCAGGGCGTGTTGTCGGGCATCGGGCGCAGAGTGTCCAGCCTGTTCGGCATCCTGTCGCCGCCCGCCAACGACAGCGTGAGTGTGCTTTTCATCCTTCAAAGTTTTGAGATGGAGTCCAAATGACGTGACCGCGTCGGATTCGGCGCGACTGCCGTCGTTGCAGCTCCGCAGCGTGCTGTGGGTGAGCGCCACCGGCTGCCTCTACGCGCTGAGCGACTCCCGCCTCAGCAAATGGGAGGTGGACGAGAGGGGGGAGCAGCAGACGGTCAGCTGGGACGTCCGGCGAGCTCTGAGCGAGAGCATCGCCGACGCCATTTGGGTGAGCAGCAGGCGGCGGTCGGTCGCTCGTTTTAGCTAGCTACACTTTAGCTAGCTCGCCAAGAGCGACTCAAACGGGAACGAAACTCGATGTCGGTGAGTCGAGAGAGAGGGAAAAAGCCTCGGATCTCAAAAATAATCCGCTGATAAAAGCGATCGCTCTGTACGGTTAGACATCGATACATAGAGTCCACGTTTGAGTCGCGAGAAGAAGGTCGGCCATGTTTGATGTGGCAAGGTCGAAATGAGGAGGTCGTCCCGGTCAGGCGGCTTGTCTAACGCCTTGCTAACCCCCACCACCACCACCACCAGGGCTCAGAGGCCAACTACGAGGAGATGCGCGACGGCGTCCACGTGACCTTTCTGGACGTGAAGCTCAGCCAGTGAGTGGGCCGTTTTTTTTGTCTTCTTTGTCTCGCGTCGTGGCGTCATCGCACTTGTTGCGCCTCCAGGGTCGGGCTGGTGGTCCTGGCCGCCGCCCGGCACCCGTCCGACACTCCCCCCCGCCTGGTCTACTTCTGCCTGGTCACCCTGCAGGACCTCGGCGCCGCCATCTCCAACCAGTTCACCGTGGAAGTCACCAACTACAACCCCCACTTTCAGGTGCGGCCCCCAAAATGGGGGTCTCGTTAGCGCAGCGCCCCCGTCGCCCCTTTTGCCGCCGTTGCGAAGCCTCCGCTCTCCGCGTGAGACGCTTTCTGAACGGCAGACGTGAGGACGGTTCCATGAGGCGAGCTTCACCTCAGCCCGCCGTCGCCTGTGTTTACGCGCGACCGTTTTTCTCAGAGCGAGTCCCGACTGCGCGCCACGCGTCTCCTGTTGCCCCCTTCCCCCGGCGCCACCGCCTTCCTCTACGACGAGGAGCTGGTCTTCGCCTGCTCCACGGGAAGCGGCGGTGCGGCCCCCGCCCCCGACCAGAGGATCCCCTTCGACTCTTCCGGTGGGGCCCCCTTCGAGCGGACTTTTTTTTGCGCCGATGGTTCTTTTTGGGGGGAGGTCATTCGAGCTACGCGTGCGTGTCCTGCGTAGGTGACGGCGTGCGCGGCGGCGGCTGCTGCGCCAACCTGCCCGTCTTCTTCTCCCAGAATAGCGGTCTGGTCGCCGTGGTGGCCCGGGAGAGCCCCTCCGTCCTGCCCGAGACCGTGGAGGACTCGCTGTGCTCGTCTCTGGCGGCGGCACCGGAGGTGAGTCGCCCCAAAACAGCCGCCGGCCCCGCCCCCGCCCGCGGTTTCCGAATCGGGCTTTGCCGGGGATGCCACAGGGACTTGAACAAGATCCCCTTTATTTTATTGTTCGGTGGTGCTTTGACTCAAAGCGACGTTTTAGTCCCCGTATGGAATCAAACTGAGTGGAAATGTCATGAAATAATCCTTAAAAAGCACCGACCGGATTGGGACCAGTTGTAAGTGGAAAAACACGTGAGTTCAAAGCACCGGCGGCGCCATCTTGGACGGGTGCCGCTCCAATATGACGTTTGTCACATGTCAAAGATGTGCCTTTTTGCTTGAAAAAATTTGGGAAAGACGCAAGTTGATGATCTTCAAATGCTGAAGGCGTCCACCGCGGCGGAGAGGTCCGGCGGCCGAGCTGAGCCCGTCGCTCCGGAGGACAAAGCCAAACTCCTGAAGGCGGCCTTCTTGCAGTTCTGCCGGTAAACGGCAACAACGAGCGACGACTTCTTTTGTCCAACGTGTCTATTTTCACTTTTTGGGGCTTTGTTTTTCCCGCCATTTACTCTCGCCCC